CCTGCGGTAATTGCTATATCGAGGAGACAAAGCGTCTCTGACCGAATTCGCGAGCACAAATCAGATTTGAAACACGGCAAAACGAATTCTTCTGCCGTAGCTGATCATTGTTACAACGCTGTGGATGATCACGATATAATATTCTCCGATACCAAGGTTCTTTGCAAACCCACGGGTTTTTATCAGAGATTTGTTCACGAGGCAATTCAGATCTACAAGCACAGACACAATTTCAACCGAGAAGATGATTTCAAATTAAGCAACCATTGGAAAGATGTTCCAAATAGAACCAAACATTAAACTAATTTTCAATGGTAAAGTATATTTTTCAAGTAGTGGTACCCCAAACTTTCGCAGCTCTTAAATTCCCCTTTCCCACCATCAATAGGTAAACTCCCCCCCCCCCCCCCCGCGCCAAACGGAATTTGCACCCGTACAACACCTCGATGCTAAGTCGGCCAATCAAATGCAATTTTTTTATGCTAATTCCTTTGTCAATGCACCTTGTTTCCTCGCACACAGCTTAAAGGTCGCGGTCTGAGCGTGGCTGTGTTTCACTCCAGCGCTGTCCTCGAGACAGCCTGACCCCTTCACCTGATGAAGGCTGCTTGTGTTGTGGCCGAAACGTCGTGATTTTTGTTGTTTTATTTTTTACCTACGTGACTTTACCGAATAGAACCATAGAGTATGGATCCTTGCAGTCACGAAAGCTTTAAATCAAGAATTAAAATCACAGTTCCTATGATTACTGTTGTTACCTTGTTTTTGTAGTTTTATTTTGGTCTGGTTGTGGTGTAATAGTTTTCTACAATGTAGATTCATATTTTGTTTGTTGCGGTTACACCCGACTTAAGAGCCGCATGGCTCACAGGGCTATACCTAATAACTTGAACTTGAAACTTGAAACTTACTCAACCACTCGATCACCCACACAACCATTCACTCCCCAACTAACCCAAAAGCAAAGAACCCCGTGTAGCCTTAACAGACTGTAGGGGCAAGTGCTGTTAGCCAGCACCTATTAAGGCCGGCACGGTACACGAGGGGGTGGGGTGGCCAGCACCACGCCCGGCCGCCTTTGTCTCCCTAGTGGCGACGTTTACTACACACTGCACTAGGTACTCATTTGAGGCTGAATCGACCTAACGAAGCCCAGGACCGGATCAGATGATAGTCTCCGGTGTTGGCCGTGAGCGGGAATCGAACTCGGGTCGCCGGGTTCGTAGCGCATTGCGCCTTTCGCTACGCAGAGGCTGATATCGTCGTCATCATCGTCATCATCATGGTCGTGTGGACACTTATAGCAGCAGCCGAGCACTCTGAACGCGCGTTCCTAAATGTGGAGGGGCAACAGCAGAGGACCTGGAGATCTTCGGGCATCGAAATTAATTTAATTCGAGTAAAAACTTTACACCGTTGTGACGGGGTGCTCAGCAGAGGGCAGCGCAGCGTGAACCACTGTTATACTGCACCTCTACGCTCCTACGTTCACCATCCCCACCATCGCCAACGCGCGCCGACGAAAGCGGTGAAGTATGGTCAAATAACTACCCCACCCCCCAGGACGCGCACGGCGCGTTAAAGCATACACATCCGCACATATGGGGGTGCCTTTGCGGATGTGTATGCTTTAACTTTAACATAGCCTTTTCTGTGACCAGTCACAAGCTAATCACTCAGCCATTTCAATGCTAAATTATATGCTAATTCCTTTGTCAAGGGGTGCCTCTGCGGATGTGTATATGCTTTAACTTTAACATAGCCTTTTCTGTGACCAGTCACAAGCTAATCACTCAGCCATTTCAATGCTAAATTCTATGCTAATTCCTTTGTCAAGGCGCTTTGTTTCTTCTCACACAGCTTAAAGGTCGTGATCTCAGCGTGGCTTTCTCACTCCAGCGCTGTCCTCCAGACAGTCTCGTCCCCTTCACCTGATGAAGGCCGCTTGTGTTGTGGCCGAAACGTCGTGAGAATATTATTGTGTTATTTTATTTTATCAATTTATTATTTTATTCTCATTCTACGTGACTTTACCGAAAGAACCAAAGAAAACAAAACTAATATTAATTTTAAAAAGTATAAATGTACGACAGTGGCATTGTAACGCTTGTATTGTCGATTCTACAATAAAAATACAGAACACAAACAGCAACAGCAGCAATGTCGTTGTGTACAGCGTCATTCGTGCTCACTGCATCCCGCAACGCCGTTCATTCATTAAACACGAGGACCAAATCCTCTGCACAGCCACCGCCAAGCAAATTAAATCTACAAATTAATAAACAAATACAGAGAAAGCGCCAAACACAAAAGGCGCCAACAATGTCTGCGCTGTTCAAGTCGTCTGCTGCGTCATCGGCGCCTGTGACGTCACCATTTACGACCCCCCCCCAGACGCGTTGACGTCACCACGTCACCCCTCCCCCTCTACCCCCCACCCCCCCACGCGCTCCCCCCACCACCCCGCCCCCTTTCCACTGGACCGTCTGTGAACGATTTGGGGAAAATATCTAATTGAGATTTTTCTGACAGATATTGCGATTTGATTTGCGAAAAAAAAATGTTTTAAGTCAAGCTTCAGTTCAATATTCACTGCGTAATAGATTTCAAACGTGTGATGGAGCATAACCACGTGATACCATCAAAATATGAACCGCTCGAAATATTCTAATGCAAGTGTCGAGGTATTATTGTGCACTCCCATTGCTGTCAGCCGGTAGTACCGCACACGTGTCAATAGGGGGCGGAAGAGTGACTGAGCCCAGTGTCCAGGGACCATGACCCAACGGGGCCAACGGTCACCCCGATGGGATAGCGGATCCAGGGACGAAGACGACGTCACCCTCCCAGGACCTGGTGGAAGGTTCTGGAAGGAAGGCGTGGCCGGGGCAGAGCGAGCCACGGACTTGTATAAAAATCCGGACCTCTGAACGGTCCTGGCAGTCGTCGTCCACCAGAAGATCAATAACCTCCTGAAGAGAAGAGCCCAATGGGCAGAGCCGTATCCCTGGCAAGGGTCGGCTCCAGCTAACATACCAGTGAAGACCCAGGTCCACTCAAGAAGGGTGAGAGTAGCCAGTGTGAGGCGTATTCAGTCTGGAGGAATGACCTCTATTGTTATCGGGTGTGAGGGGCTGTTACTCCTCTGTGTTAAGAGACTCCTCTATTTATTGGCCCACTACACAAGGATGATAACTTAAAAGATACGAATTGATTTCAACACGTATTTTTTTCAAATGTTTCAATTCAAATAGAACAATCAAATGTAGAACAATTGTTAACTTAAATAAAGTAATAATAATACAAATTGAAACAATTACAATAAGCAAGTAATATGACTTTTCAATTCGCAAAAAATGGCAGCGTTTGTGATTTGCTAATCGCATTGATTTAAAATTGCGATTTCAATTTGAAATAGATTCATTGTTCAGCCCTACCGTGAACTAAAATAGCTTCATAGCTCATCGGATTCCTCCTGCACTAAAAATATCAGATTCTGAGGAGGGAGGGTGGGGGGATGGTGGATCATGATCAAAGAAAACATTTGCAAACAAGGGGTTAAAAATAAAGGTTTTTGGGTTAGATCGCGTTATTTATAAATGTGTCGTAACCCTCCACCAATAGACACGGCCAATCAGCAAAAAAAGTGTCACGTTGACAAAAGACAAATAGTTCACTACTTTTGCCCACCGATGTGTTGAAGAGTGAATCACTCTTCAAAAGTAGTGAACTATTTGTCTTTTGTCAATGTGACACTTTTTTTGCTGATTGGCTGTGTCGGGTGGTGGAGGGTTACGAAACATTTATAAATAACGCGATCTAACCCAAAAAAACCTTTATTATGAATAATATTGGTCGCGAAAGCCTACGTGTTAAAAACGCAACAGTTAAAATAGTTTTGGTCGCGAAAGCCTCGCGTGTTAAACCGGTAAAATAGTTTCCCCGAGAAACATCAAATTTCAAGTCGCAGCGAGAATTACAACGATCACGAAATTGCACCGAGTAAAAGAATTCCGCGTTCACACATCACGAAACGTGGTGTGTAAAGGCCTGCCATTGTTTACGCAGTGGAAGCTTGGCCGGAATTCACTTTGAAAAGGAGCGATTTGAGGTGCCTGAGTGACGGAAGTGACTTCAAGTCAAGTCTGGCAGAGCGAGAGACTGTACCGTGAGAAGCGATGATGGCTTGGAGAAGTCGTCACCCCGGCAGTGCAACGTGTGCTGCAGTTGCTGATGTTGATGAATCTGTAAACCTCCGATTAGCCACGGTTGGCTACGTACGGTGCGAAAGAAGTTCACCTTACACACACACATACTGCCCATAGACAAAAACTACCCATATAGATTCAACACTGCCCATAGACAAAAACTACCCATATAGATTCAACACTGACCATATAGATTTAACACTGCCCATAGACAAAACCTACCCATATAGATTCAACACTGCCCAAAGACCTACAATTCCCATATAGATTCAACACTGACCATAGACTAACACTGCCCATAGACTACACTACCCATATAGATTCAACACTGCCCATAGACTACACTACCCATATAGATTCAACACTGCCCATAGACTAACACTGCCCATATAGATTCAACACTGCCCATAGACTAACACTACCCACATAGATTCAACAATGCCCATAGACTAACACTGCCCATATAGATTAAACACTGCCCATAGACTCAACGCTGCCATGGTTCGCTGCATGCGGTGCGAAAGAAGTTCAACGTACCCTACAAACATTCCGAGTTTCGCTCCCACTCAAACACCCAGGGGGCTATCCAACCCTCTTTTTTAAGGGCCCCACTATTCTGACCGGCCCATTTAAAACTCTGTACAAAAGTGGCCCACCTGGTCTCGAACTCCCCTAAACTCCTTTTTCCCAAAATATTACGTCTCAAATGCTCCATGCTCGCCCATTGCGCTAGGAGTGTGATGTGCCACAGCTTCCATGAAGAGGGGTAGGGGGGGGGGAGGTTGGCCTCATGATCCTTGGATCGTTAAGGATTTCACAACATCTGGGGGCACAGCCAGAAAGGGATGAGGGCACGATGAGTTTGCACCGTGCCCGGAAGGGGACACCTTGGGGCAGTCCGGTGACACCTGCGGGGGATTCCCGCTCTTCTTCCCACTCGTCAGCGTGTACGCTCCGTGCGTGATTTGTTTCGTGTCAAACTGGACGTAGTCGCGCGGTGGTGGTATTCATGTTTTTTTTTTTAATAGATAAAGAGTGGAACAGCCACGCGGATTCGCACAGACGGGAACTTCAACGCACCACTTCCTGAAAATTCTTACCCTTAGCAACCGCCCTTTTAAAATCTGCATACCCGCCTCCTCTCTGATCTATTCCCTACAGCCGCTCCCCTCTGGCCCCTATATCACCGCCCCTTTCACAATAAGAGTACTCACCCTTCCCTGATCTATCCCGTGGAAAAAAAATCAGCAAATTTAAAATGCCATAATGATTTTGCACATCGACAAGAGTGACCAGTTATTCTCTCCCCCATTTCAGAAAACCCCAACTTTGAAACCACCACGAAAAAAAACGATTTCCCCCGGCGATTCTTTGACTGAACGCCGCCAAAATCTAACAAATGTATGACAGAAACAGGTCGACCTGGTTCTTCACTATCCCCTCGACGGGGTGAATTTTAGCGGAGTTAATCGACGCGGTCATGTCCCACGCGTCCACGAATGCCACGTTCGCGCCCCTGAACACCTCCAGGGTGATCTCGTTCATCCTGAACGTGCTCCAGTTGTTGAATATCTCGGGGTTGCGGACGTCTCGCGTGTTGGCCAACTTGACGACGACCCTCGTCTCGGGGCTTCTCAGCAGCAGCCTCCTCACGGCCTCGCCAATGTTGCGCATTCGCGTGCGGAAAACCGCCAGCGGGAAGACGGTGAAGTGAGCCCCCAGGCAGATGCCCACCGCCACGTGGCTCCCGCCGGACATTTCGTCGATGCGACGGGCGATGTGCCGGACGTCTTCCTTGTAGGTGTACGACCCCGTGATGAGCGGGTAGGCGTGGCAGAACCACTCCAGGATGATGTTGTTCTCGTTGTCGATCGCCAACTTCGGTTGATGCGTCCCGGGCTTGTGGAGGTCGAAGCGTTTCAAAGCTGCGCGAGAGAACAGACGAGTGCGTGACGCGGAGAATGCGCCTCTACGTCACGCGTTTGGTTGCGCGCATTCGTACGTGCGTGCCCGAGTGTGCAATGCTGAAGCGGCGGTGAGAAATCGGACCGTTGCATCGAAAGCGAGAGAGGTAACAATGAATAATTGTAAACGTTCGGACAGCTACAGGCTTTTAGTTGCCTCGTGGAAGCGAATCAGCAAATAACGCATTGTTTAAATGCATGCCTATACAAGTCACCATTCGTCAATGGGGATTAACCTGTGGGATGCCCTGTTTACGTGACATCCCTTACTAATTGTCTGTGTCGGGCGATGGCGTCTCTAACGACACATTTTTATATGTGCGTGATCTAACCCCAAAAAAAATAAACTGTATTATGTTGTAAAGTTAAAAAAGAAGGAACGGTTAACGCTACCCATATAGCTTTAACACTGCCCATAAACTAACACTACCCATATAGATCCAACCCTGCCCATAGACTAACACTACCCATATAGATTCAACAATGCCCATAGACCAACAATGCCCATAGACTAACACTACCCATATACAGTGAGGGGAAAAAGTATTTGATCCCCTGCTGATTTTGTACGTTTGCCCACTGACAAAGAAATGGCCAGTCTATAATTTTAATGGTAGGTTTATTTGGACAGTGAGAGAGGCAGAATAACTACAAAAAAATCCAGAAAAACGCATGTCAAAAATGTTATAAATTGATTTGCATTTTCATGAGGGAAATAAGTATTTCACCCCCATCCATGATAGAGGTTTTTTGGTTTAGATCGTGTAAAATACAAACTTTAAATGTGTGTAGTGGGTTTAATCTCCAACACATAACCGGTTTATATTATTGGTTCATTCGGTAAAGTCAAAGAACCAAGAATATGAATCACTGCAGTCACGAAAGCTTTAAATCAAGACATAACCGGTTTGTTGCTGAACTGGTAACGAACTGACCACGTTTTGTTTACGTGACAAACCTCTTGCTGATTGGGCTGTGGCGGGTGGTGGCGGGTTAAACGACACATTCAGATTCACGCGATCTAACCCCGACAAAACAAACACAAACAAACCACCGCCTTTGTTGCGAACGACGACACACGACGACGATCGCCATCAGCGGCCCCTTACCTTTGACGAACTTGTTGAGGTACTCCCAATACTGCCTGATGGTGGAATCGCCAAACAGGTACACCTCCTTGTGCCTCAAGCAGTCGGTGACGTTCGCCGGCGTGTCGAAGCGCCTCGCGCCGCACACCGTCGACTGCCAAGCGCCCTTGAGGTAAAAGCCGCTGGGGCTTGGCAATCCTAACCCGGGCACGCACCTCGTTGTCGGGACTCCGACTGGACGCACGTGGAGGGGAAGGGAGAGGGGGGTGAAAGAGGGAGATTGGAGATCCATGTCGCACGCTACATCTCACCCGGCACTGCGAAAAATTGTCCGGCCGCTTCCAACGTCATTATGTCCAAGGTGGGTGCGTGTACCAGTCCGGTGATCGGCAAACGCGGCCGTATTGCTAAAACATAAAAAGTGTGAGCGGCGCTACGTAACATGGGCCCGCAGATGCGGGAGTCTTCTTCGATTTTGGAGTGGTAAGTACGGTGCAGTCGATACGGTAACTTTTTAACAGTAGGATAAACATTGGTAAGGCACTGCCTTATACCAACACTTTCTTCACCTGGAATGGTACTTTCTACAAACAGAATGAAGGTACCCCCAATGGGCTCTCCCCTATCACAAGTGGTAGCGAACATTTATACGGAGAAATTTGAGACAGACGCCATCCAGACATCCAGCCGGCGTCCTTCCTTGTGGAAGAGATCCGTAGATGACACTCTTGTTATTTCCTTTGAACCCATCTACGCGACTTTACCGAAAAACCCAAGAAAGAAAATGCGCTGCATGTTGATTGTAAAGGGGGAGGGGAAAAACGGAGGAGAGACACGGAAACTCCAAATATACAGCGGGCATCGTCAGGGTCCCGGATCGAACCCACGATTCTCCCGCACATCAGGCGAGGTAGTCAGCATCTTCCTATTCACCGGGGTGTCTTTCCAGTGTGGTTGGCCAACCAAATTAGTTTAAAAAGTCTTATTCGGACATCACCTGCCCCCACTCCACCCCGAATGTGAAACGATAACAGTTGCCTAGAAAGAGATAATGTGCTACATATAAAAAAAACTTGGTTTTAATTTATGATCGGTATTAAATTAGTTGATGTCAAAATTATAACTTACCGTTGCTTGGCTTAGCTTGCAACGTGTATCTTATTGGTATGGGTTCGTGAAGCTGCCCACTGTGAATGACAACGAAGATTGTGTTAGTGGGAGAGGGTGCCTCAAAACATGAACAGGGTGGCTCAAAAGTCAGGACACATAAGGGTTGTTGATATACTGGGTGGCTCAAAAGTCAGGACACATAGGGTTGTTGTTATACTGGGTGGCTCAAAAGTCAAGACACATAGGGGTTGTTGTTATACTGGGTGGCTCAAAAGTCAGGACACATAGGGTTGTTGTTATACTGGGTGGCTCAAAAGTCAGGACACGTAGGGGTTGTTGTTATACTGGGTGACACATGACTCTCCTTCCCATAAAATGTATCATTTTAAATAAAGCTGTCTCTTTTTGCTTTTCATTAATATTTATTTATTTTAATTTGCTACTCACCTCTCTTACGCTAATCATTGCGCGCAGTCGCAAATGAATTTGCTCGGTCGGAATTAGCCCCCGAGATTGTGACGGGTTTCTGTCTTCATTTCTGTGGCTGCTCTATGCCCCCTGTATCGTCCCCGTTCTGCTGTAATGGTGCACTGATGCACCACTTTATGCACCCACGTCGAGCTTATTTCGCACCACCATACATAGCCAACCGTGGCTGATCGGAGGTGCGGGGGAAGGACAACAACCTGAACACAACAACGAGTAGCAAACTCAAACACCAAACAAGGAATTCCTGAACACGGGCCAGAAGTGAGATTTTTTTCTTTTTACAAAATGGGGCTGGAAATATGTGATTTTAGTGAAATACACACGAAGTATTAAACATTCTTACTGCTATTAAGCGGTATGAAACAGTTGCTTAGCGCTATCCAATGTGGCAGGGCACGTGACATTTTCTCTTTTGTTACTGAAATTGTCACGGGTAAATTTGTTCTTCTTACATAAACAAGGAAGTTGTTTTCTCCTTACCCCTTTTTCTTCTTCCTTTTGCCGCACAAGTGACATGAAGGAGAGAAAGAAACAAAAAATGAACACCACCGACAAGGCCACTGACTTTCCACTTGAGATGTGGCATCTACATCTACAGGACATGAAGAACCAGTGTCATCTACATCTGTAGAATGTGAAGAACCAGTGGCATCTACATCTACAGAACATGAAGAACCAGTGGCATCTACATCTACAGGACATGAAGAACCAGTGGCATCTACATCTGCAGAACATGAAGAACCAGTAGCATCTACATTTGCAGGGTCAGACCCCAACAAACAGTTGGCTGTGTCGGGTGATGGCAGCTTTTAACGACACATTTATATATTTACACGATGCAACAAAATTTTGCTTACAAATAAATAAATAACCTTTATTATGGATGACATTGGTCACGAAAGCCGACGTGTTAAAAAGCAAAGCGATCGTGAATCCCATTTGGTGGGCCCACGACGAAACCATCGCAAGCCGACGCTGAGATGTTGAGGGGGTGCGAGGGGGGTCAAAATCCGATCTTTCCAACCCATCCGATTTCTCACCTCGAGAAGAGCTGGCGCTCCTCGGCCGTGAAGATGCGCGCGTACTTGTTGTACGACGAGTAGCCCTCCAGCGAGTAGCAGGGCAGCTCCCCCGGCCTCACGCACGACCACGCCTCGCCGCGCTCCGCGTCCCCAAAGTCGCACAGCTCGCCGCCTCCCACCGTCGCGTTCAGGAACACGTGGCAGGCTGAGCGCTCCTTCCGCCCGCCGGACACGAACGTGCCCCAGAAGCTGACCTTGTCGGGCACGGCCTCGCGCACCCTCTCCAGCACCGCGACCTCCTCGCTCGAGTGCACGAGCGCCACCTCGGGGCGGCTCTCGCCGGGCCACGAGACGCGGAAGGACACGAGGTACGTGCCGTCGCCGCGGTCGGTGACGGCGCCCGAGACGGCCGCGCCGAGCCTCGCGTTCGAGAGCCTGGCGAGGAGGAAGTCGCCGCCGTGGCGCTTGGGGCGCCCGGCGAAGTCGCGCATCTGGACCTCGACGAGGAGGGCGTCGCCCACGCTGAGCGGCGTCCCCGAGCTGCCGTTGACGACCGTGGCGATGCTTTTGGCGGCCGACGAGGCGAAGGTGACGTCCCGCAACGGCGGCGGCCGCCACTTCGTGGGGCCCGGTATCATTTTTGTCGCCGGGCGGAGGCGATCGCTTTGCTGATAGTGCAGCTTTGGCGCCACGTGTTTCTGCTGGTTGAACGTCTTGACGAGGAGAAAAGAAAAACAAAAAATGGGAACATTGTCAGAAACGAGCGATTGTTTTGCATTGTTAGTCGATAGTAGAAAGTGATTTGTGTACGGCGTCCGCAGCCAGTGTGTTAGCTCGCCAATGATTAATGACGTGTATAATTGCGCTAGATTTGACGAAATAACTTCTTTAGAACCGCTTGTCGTTGTGAATTTGTCCCAGTGGATGAGAGTGTCGCCTCAATGGGACTTTGGGTCTCAGAAAGGAAAACTCTGCCTCGGTTGTCTGTGTTTATGCACCAAACAGCAGTTCAGAGTTTTACGGCCTTCTTGGAGACGGGTAGGGTGCAGTGCTCGACAGAGCTGCCGCCTACTGACTCCACAGCCTTACTGGACGACTTCAATGCTCACGTGGGAAGCGATGGAGAAATTCTGGAGAGGCGTGATTGGGAGGAATGGCTCCCCTGATCGGAGACGTTATTGGAATTCTGCGCTAGACACGGAATGTCAAAAACAAACACCGTGTCAGAACACAAGGATGCTCATGAGTGTACTTGGTACCAGAGCACCTTGAGCCGAAGGTCACTGATTGACTTCATAGTTGTATCATCGGACCTAAGGCCGTATGTTCTGGACACTCGGATGAGGAGAGGGGCAGAGCTGTCGACTGATCACCACCTGGTGGTAAGTTGGATCCGACGCTTTTGGGGCAACCGACCAGATGGACGTGGAAGCCCCAAGCGAATAGTGTCGGGTTTTCTGGGAACATCTGGCGGAAGACCCGGTGCAGAAATATTTGAACTTCGCCTCCGGGATAAGTTCTCCTGCACTCCAGGGGAGGTCATGGACATTGAGTCAGAGTGGACGATGTTCAGAACCTCGATTATGGATGCAGCTGCGAAAATCTGTGGCCTGCAGGCAGTTAGTGCCTGTCATGGCGGTAAACCTTGGACCTGCTCGTGGCCTCCGGTGGTGAGGGAAGCTCCCAAGTTGAAGGAGGAGGCTTTCCGATTGAGAGGCACCGGCTTGCCAAGAGGACGACAGTGGTTGCAGTCGCTGAAGAGAAAGCCCCAGAGCATGGGAGGAGTTTGGAGAGGCCACGGAGAGGGCCTCAAAGATGTCCTGGCAAAACCATCCGACGCCTTGAAGGGATCAACGGGACGTTGCCCGGGGCTGTTCTCAGTAAGGGTGGTGGTGTAACATCGACCTCAACTGAGGAGGTAGTGGAGAGGTAGAAGGGACAATTTGAGGCACTCCTCAACCCGGTGGGCGTGCCCCCCTCTCAGGAGGCAGCCTTGGAAACAACTGGGGGGGGGGGGGTGGTCGGATCCATCACGGCTGCTGAAATCGCTGTGGCGGTCGAGATCCTTCATAGCGGCGAAACTGCTGGGGTGGACGAGATTAGCCCAGAGTTGTTGAAAGCTCTGGGCAGTGCAGGAGTGCCGTGGTTAACACGCCTCTTCAATGTTGCATGGAAGGTGGGTGCAGTACCTCTGGATTCGGTAAAATAAGGTTGTGGTTCCCCTTTGTATGAAAGGGGACCAGAGGGCGTGCTCCAACTACCGAGGGATCACACTCCTCAGCGTCTCAGGTAAAGGCTTTGCCAGAGTGCTGGAGTCGAAGGCTCCACTCGGTGGTCGAGCCTCAAATTCAGGAGGAGAAATGCAGATTCCATCATGGTCGTGGAACCATGGACTAGCTCTTTTTCCCTCTCACATATATTTGAGGGGTCATGGGAATATGCTGCTCCAGTCTACCTCTGCTTTGTCGACTTGGAAAAACGCATGTGGCCATGTTCCCCGCAATGTCCTGTGAGATGTGCTGCGAGAGCACGATGTACCCGTGCCGCTTTCATGTGCTATCCGGTCCCCTCTATTCCCGGAGTGAGAGCTGTGTCCATAGTCTTTGTGCTAAATCAAAGTCGTTCACTGTGGGTGTTGGACTCCGCCAAGAGTGCATCTTGTCTCCACTCCTGTTTGTGATTTCCATGGACAGGATGTCAAGGCTGCAGCCAAGGTATGGAGAGTATACAATATGGGTGGCAATGAGGTGGCATCACTGCTATTTCGCAGATGTCATTGTCCTCTTTACCTCATCGGTCTGTGATATCCAGCGTGTGAAGCGGCTGGAATGAGGGATGAGGATCGGCACCTCAAAATCTGCGGTCCATGGTTCACTCCCAGGAAATGGTGGAGTTTTCTCTCCAGGTGAGGGTGGGAGGGGGGTGGGAACAGCTGCCCTTAGCAAAGGAGTTTAAGCACCTCAGGGTCTCGTTTGCGAGTGATAGCTATTGGGAGTGAGAACTCAGCCGTGGGATTGGTGCGGCGTCCGCAGTGATCCAGGTGCTTGAACCGTTCCGCAGTAGTGTAGCGGGAGCTGAGTTCTCGAACGAAGATCTCGGGTTACCCGTCGATCTATGTTCCCACCCTCAACTATGGCCGTGAGGTTTGAGTAATGACCGAAAGGATGAAATCGCGGATACAAAGGGCCGAAAAGAGGCTTCTCCGCAGGGTTTCCAGGCCTCACCACTCTCCGTGATCGGGAGAGGAGCTCGGTAATCTGGGAGAGCATCAGAGTCGAGCCGCCGCTCCTGCAGATCGAGAGCAGCCAGTTGAGGTGGTTCGGTCACCTGGTAAGGATGCCGCACTCCCCGGTAGACTCCCCCTGGAACTCTACCGGGCAGGAACGTCCCACCGGACGAAGACCCTGGGGCCGGCCAAGAACAACACTGCTGGCGGGACGATTTCGTTCAGCTGGCCTGGGAACGCCTGGGAATTCCCCAGGAAGCGCCAGAGTCTGTGTATAGTAGCGCAGTGTATAAGGTAGTGTATAGTAGTGTAGTTTATAGTAGTGTATAGTAGTGTAGTGTACGGGAGTGACGTCTATAGTAGTGGAGTGTATAGTAGTGTAGTGTTTTGTGTAGTGTTTAGTATATTAGTGTAGACTGTATTGTAGTGTAGTGTATAGTAGTGTAGTCTATAGTGTAGTGTATATTAGTGTAGTGTAGAGTGTAGTGTATAGTAGTGTAGTTTATAGTAGTGTAGTGTATAGTAGCGTTGTGTATAGTGTAGTTTATAGTAGTGTACTGTATAGTAGTGTAGTGTATAGTGTAGTGTATAGTAGTGAAGTGTATAGTGTTGTGTATAGTGTGGTAGTGTATAGTGTAGTGTATAGTGTAGTAGAGTGGTGCTGGAGTCTGTCACCAGGGAAAGGGAGGTCTGGACCACCCTACTCGACATTCAGCTGCTGTCACCCTCACCAGGACAAAGCGGATTGGGACACGAATGAACGGACACTACACTATCCACTACTCCCCTATACACAACGACTATACAGTACACTACACTCCTATACACTACGATTATACACTACTATACACTACACTATACACTACACTCCTATACACCACGACTATATACTACTCTACTAAAACTAGATGGACGAACTCATTTATTTTTCTGTTTAGTTTGTTTTGCTTCCCCCACACCTCTGATTTCCATGGTTGGCTACATACGGTGCGAAAGAAGTTCAACATACGTACACACTATGCACGACATTACTACAGACTACAATCAACACTACACTACACACACTATGCTGCACACCACACTATAATACACTGCACTATGCACTACACTATACACTACACTATACACGACACTACTATACAGCACTACTATACACTACACTATAGACTACACTACTATACACTACACTACTATACACTACACTAATATACACTACATGATACACTACACTCCTATACACTACACTACTATACACTACACTAATATACACTACACTAATATAAACTATACACTACATTACTATACACTACACTACTATACACTACACTAATATACACTACACAATACACTACATTCCTATACACTACACTACTATACACTACACTAATATACACTATTCACTACACTACTATACACTGCACTACTATACACTACACTACTATACAATACACTACTATAAACTGCACTACTATACACTACACTACTATACACTACACTACTATACTATACAATACACTACTATACACTGCACTACACACTAAACTACTATACAGCACTTGCTATTCACTGCACCACGAAAGTATATTGAAAACCCATTTCAACAGAAGTGCTTTTTGCGTGTAGTTTGTTGTCGTTCCGCTGCACCTCCGATTTGCCACGGTTAGCTACCTTACAGTGGTGCGATAGAAGTTCAACATAGGTACGTACACTATGCTTCCGACAGCGTACCTTTAAGTATCCCGAGGAAAGGAAAATCATGACCAGTAACGAAATAAACACGAAGACGGCCGTCTTTATTTTCGAGCCCATGACACTCTGTTGATGACCCGTTCAATCTTCCCTGCAAATTTGAAATTCAAACAATCAAACAAAAAATGCGTTACACACTTTCAGGCGAACCCTACAAAAAAAAGGCAACACCGAACAACAACTTTGTTTGATGAGTTTAACATTCAGCAGCAGCAGGAAGAGAAGGAGTAGTCTTTCGCGACAAATATTACCCGCATGTAATGAAGATCGACACCCGTTTCTTCAATAGTGAACCTTATGTCGGGAACCCGGGGTCCCCACAAGCCCCCCCCCCCCCAGGGCTCTCGCATGAACTGCGTTGACGACATCATTTTATATCCGTTGAAGGCGAGCGATACAGCGATCTATTTCCTACTCTCAACGAGCCCACACGATGCGCTAATCAAAGTTTCAAAGTTTTAAATCTCGACTTAAAGCTTTCGTGACTGCAGGAATTCATATTCTTTGGGTCTTTCGGTAAAGTCACGTAGATAGGTTCAAAGAAAATAACAACAACAAAAACTCACGACGTTTCGATCGCAACACAAGCGGTCGTCTTCGGGAAGAAAAAAGAGTGGGACAGCTGCTGAGGCAGACGTTTCAACGTTTCGTCTATGACTACGGCAATTTTGGCAAGGACGCGCGCTTGGTGAAGAACGCTGTGGGCTCTCATGATATTGTTTTTTTCCAAGACCAAGGTACTCTGCAAAACCTTCGGGCTACTATCAAAGGTTTCATAATAAAGGTTTTTGGGTTAGATCGCGTTTATTTATAAATGTGTCGTAACCCTCCACCACCCGACACGGCCAATCAGCAAAAAAAGTGTCACGTTGACAAAAGACAAATAATTCACTACTTCAGCCCACCGGTGTGTTGAAGAGTTAATCCACATTTACAGTTTGAGTACGACGTTTCGCTGGTAAATACTTCCAGCATCATTGGGCAATTCGCCAGAATGGTAAAGCCCTCGCTTGCTCCCGGTTTTATATAGAGCAGCAGGGTGACGTCATCACTTAACTCATCAGGTGCAGTGATTAGAGGCGGAGGGGGGGGGTAATGTAATTATATAATCGATTAGTAATCAGTCATTGGTTATGATTAGTAATGAGTTGTAGATTAGTAATTCTTTAAATCAAAATGTAATGTGTATTATTTAATAATACGCTTCCAGGCCGCACTAAGCCGGTAGCTGTCAGAGCGATTAAAGTTATTCTTGTTCCTCTCAATTTCAATGGATTCTCTAATTAGTCTTTGCCAGTAATAATTAGTTTTACACACCACTGCAACATTGTCAAAATCAATTGAGTGTCCTTGTTGACAAGCATGTTCTGCCACTGCCGACAGTTGTGTTTGAGATAATTTAATATTTCTCTGATGTTCTTTTAGTCTTACGCTGATGTTACGTCCCGTCTGCCCAATATAGCAGCTGCCACATGAACAATTAATCCGATATACACCTTCTGTTGATAGTTTAGGTAATGCGTCTTTAGTGCAAGATACTAGTTTTTGAATTTTGTGTACTGTACCAAATTCAAAAACTAGTATCTTGCACTAAAGACAATTAATCCGATATACACCTTCTGTTGATAGTTTAGGTAATGCGTCTTTAGTGCAAGATACTAGTTTTTGAATTTTGTGTACTGTACCAAATTCAAAAACTAGTATCTTGCACTAAAGACGCATTACCTAAACTATCAACAGAAGGTGTATATCGGATTAATTGTTCATGTGGCAGCTGCTACATTGGGCAGACGGGACGTAACATCAGGGTAAGACACATTTATAAATAAACGCGATCTAACCCAAAAACCTTTATTATGAATAATATTGGTCGCGAAAGCCTACGTGTTAAACTATCAAAGGTTTGTTCATGAAGCCATCCAGATATATAAACATAAAAATAACTTCAACCGAGAAGATGGATACAAATTGAGCAATCATTGGAAGGATGCTACTAACCAGGTACAACCTTAACTGGTTCATGGTGTTGCCTTCATATCCACATCTCCAGTTTCTTCAGCCTCCCACTCCCAGCCCGCTCACTCCCCCCCCCCCCCCTCCCCTGGCATTTTGCCGTGCTCACCCTTTTCCTAATCCCTCTAGCAGCACTCCATTCCCCCTACCCCACACCCCCCTCTCTATCTCTCCTCACTGGCTACTCCCCCCTCTCTTACCGATATAGCCTCTTGTTACAGCAGCCCTTTTGCCCACTTCAGCAATTGTGTCTTGCTGCGGTTGTCCCAACTGATTTACGGACGCTTGTGTTGCGCCCGAAACGTCGTGATTTAATTTTATTTTATACCTACGTGACTTTACCGAATGAACCAAAGAGTAAGAACGAGAGGATCGATGAGTGGTGGGGTTACGGCGTTCACGTCGTGCGGTGGGGATGGAGTCGCCGAAAATAAATTAGTTAATTGCGATTTTGACTTCCGTTTATTCGGGACCACCCGGGGTCCCGCCGTGAAGTTCATATTATTGAGAGCCTTTAGTGTCTACACGAACACTGCCTTCAAGCACAGCCGAGTCTCCTCTCCAAGCATCCCCATCCACGCCGTGCTTCCCCGGTTCATATCGCTCGAGCCTCCAACTTTCCCCAAGGTTCCCCGACTTACTTTCCAAAGCCCTCCCCCCCCCCCCCTTCTGCTCTAACGGATCTCAACCCCCTCTCCTGCCAGTCAACCTTCGATTCCCGCCCTTTGCGTTGTCATCTTTCCTCCAATCCCTTAAAATTATCGGTCTCCAGCCAACCCCCTTCCAGGCCTCTCCCTTCAAACCCCTCCCACCCCCTTACCACGTCATCCACCCCACGTGGTCCCCACCAGATTAGGGGCACCAATCGGAGGCCTCGGTTCACTTCGTGACCGCCCGTTCGCGCATCGGCCATTGCACATATCCTGAGAATGTTTTGTCGGTAAACATGGCGAGAATGTAAATGTTGTGTCGTTAAACCCCCCCGCCACCACCACCACCGCCAGACAGGACCAATTACTAATGAGTTTGTGACTTGCTGGCAAGAATTGGCGCCAAATTCGTTAACTAGTTTAAGAACAAAACAGGAGGAAGGAGGATTTCTCCACAACTATGGCGGTCCGCCTGATGATGCAGGTTGTTGTTGTTGTTGTTGTTATGATTACCGGCGAAACGTCACAGCTACTCCAATTGCAAATGTTGCAGTGGGTTTACTCACAACAAGCCGGCTTATTACTGTACTGGTATACTACACTATACACTACACTATACACTACACTATACACTACACTATACACTACACTACACTATACACTACACTATTCACTACACAATACACTATACTATACTATAGTTTAATACGTAGGCTTTCGCAACAAATATCAGCCATGATACAGGTTTTATTTTAGATCGCGTAAATAGATAAATGTGTTGTTAAACCCGCCATCATCTGACACAGCCAACTAGTAAGGGTTGTGTCACGTAAAGAAAACGTGGCCAATTCGTCACTAGTACAGCACTAGTGTACAGTGTAGTGTCTTGTGGTATAGTGTATAGTGTGGTAGTGTATAGTGGTGTAGTGTATAGTGTAGTGTATAGAAGTGTAGTAGTGTATAGTGTAGTGTCTTGTGGTATAGTGTATAGTGTGGTAGTGTATAGTGGTGTAGTGTATAGTGTAGTGTATAGAAGTGTAGTGTAGTAGTGTATAGTGTAGTGCCTTGTGGTATAGTGTATAGTGTGGTAGTGTACAGTGGTGTAGTGTATAGTGTAGTGTATAGAAGTGTAGTGTATAGTGTAGTAGTGTATAGTGTAGTGTCTTGTGGTATAGTGTATAGTGTAGTAGTGTATAGTGTAGTGTATAGAAGTGTAGTGTATAGTGGTGTAGTGTATAGAAGTGTAGTGTATAGTGAAGTAGTGTATAATGGTGTAGTGTAGTAGTCTATAGTAATGTAGTGTATAGTAGTATATAGTGGTGTAGTGCATAGTGTAGTAGTGTATAGTAGTGTAGTGTATAGTAGTGTATAGTAGTGTATAGTGTAGTGTATAGTGGAGTGCATAGTAGTGTATAGTGGTGTAGTTTATAGTGGTGTAGTGTATAGTGTAGTAGTGTATAGTGGTGTAGTGTATAGTGTAGTGTATAGTGTAGTGTATAGTGTAGTGTATAGTGTAGTATACTAGTACAGCACACCGGTTGTGTGTTGGAGAGCAAAATCCACGACATTTACAATCTGAGCACCGTGACATTTCGCCAGTAATTACGAACCGCCATCATCAGGCGGACAGCCTTGATGTGCCCACACATCCTCCTCCCTCCTCGTCAAACAGATGGCTACATGTGATCACGTCACGTGTGAGCCCTTCGAGTGGATTGGTGGGTTGGTGCGTGGGTCGGTGGGGATTAACGAATGCGTAAACATTTGCAATGGGCATCCTGCCGTTTGCGTGCACTAATCACAGCAGAACCGTCCGTTCACAGGTGATCCCCGTATAAGTGTGGTGACCCGGCACGAATTACACTGTGTAACAAAAATATATATTTTTTTGTTTCGGGGTAGTAAGTGTTATTTTTCTAATTGCTTTTGTGACCAGGACATTGATATTTGAAATTTACCTATTTCACTATGTAACACGATTTTTGTTCCTGGGTAGTAAGTGTTATTTCCTAATTGCTTATGCCTCAAAAGTACAGAAAGTGGCCATTATTCGCCACGAAACTTTGCTTTCGTGACAAGGACAGTGGCATTTTGAAATGTTCATATTTTCAATGAGAAAAAAACGGGCGCAATTGTGTCGTTCCTTTGCGTAAAGTCCTGGTCACAAAAGCTAAGTTCGTGGGGAATAATAAGAGCCACTTTCTATACTTTTGAGGCATACGCAATTAGGAAATAACACTTACTACCCAGGAACATAAAATCGTGTTACATAGTGAAAAAGGTAAATTTCAAATGTCAATGTCCTGGTACCTGCTATCACTACAGCAGTGCATACTGTGGTGGTACCTGCTATCACAGCAGTGCATACTGACTGTGGTGGTACCTGCTATGATTACAGCAGTGCATACTGACTGTGGTGGTACCTGCTATGATTAAAGCAGTGCATACTGACTGTGGTGGTACCTGCTTTCACTACAGCAGTTCATACTGTGGTGGTACCTGCTATGATTACAGAAGTGTATACTGACTGTGGTGGGACCTGCTATGATTACAGCCGTGCATACTGACTGCGGTGGTACCTGCTTTCACTACAGCAGTACATACTGTGGTGGTACCTGCTATGATTACAGCAGTGCCTACTGACTGTGGTGGTACCTGCTATGATTACAGCAGTGCAAACTGATTGTGGTGGTACCTGCTATGATTACAGCAGTGCAAACTGATTGTGGTGGTACCTGCTATGATTACAGCAGTGCAAACTGAGTGTGGTGGTACCTGCTATGATTACAGCAGTGCAAACTGATTGTGGTGGTACCTGCTATGATTACAGCAGTGTATACTCACTGCGGTGGCACCTGCTATGATTACAGCAGTGTATACCGACTGTGGTGGTACCTGCTATGACTACAGCAGTACATACTGACTGTGGTGGTACCTGCTATTATTACAGCAGTGTATACTGACTGCGGTGGTACCTGCTTTCACTACAGCAGTGTATACTGACTGCGGTGGCACCTGCTATGACTACAGCAGTGTATACTGACTGTGGTGGTACCTGCTATGATTACAGCAGTGCATACTGACTGCGGTGGTACCTGCTATGATTACAGCAGTGCATACTGACTGTGGTGGTACCTGCTATGATTACAGCAGTGCATACTGACTGTGGTGGCACCTGCTATGATAACAGCAGTGTATACTGACTGCGGTGGTACCTGCTATGACTACAGCAGTGCATACTGACTGTGGTGGTACCTGCTATGACTACAGCAGTGCATACATACTGTGGTGGTACCTGCTATGACTACAGCAGTGTATACTGACTGTGGTGGCACCTGCTATGACTACAGCAGTGCTTACTGACTGTGGTGGTACCTGCTATGATTACAGCAGTGCATACTGACTGTGGTGGCACCTGCTATGACTACAGTAGTGCATACTGACTGTGGTGGTACCTGCTATGATTACAGCAGTACATACTGACTTTGGTGGTACCTGCTTTCACTACAGCAGTTCATACTGTGGTGGTACCTGCTATGACTACAGCAGTGTATACTGTGGTGGCACCTGCTATCACTACAGTAGTACATGCTGACTCTATAGCAGTGTTTATATATCGACTCTAAAGCACAAAGTCCTCACCTGACAGACTGCCGTGGTGAGGCCTAGTCCCGTGCAGAGCCCCCGGCCTCGCCTAGATTGCCCAGCCGGCCGAGGCTGTGGGCAGGGCCGCTACCCCCCCTCCCCCACCACCCCCCCCACCACCCCGGGCTACAATAACACCATCTAAGCGCTATAATATTAATATCTACAGAACCCACAGTAGTAAGTGCACACATTGGGGTGGGTGGCGAGAGAAGAGGTGGTGACACTTTGATTAATTTACCTCAGCGTTCCGTGTACATTTTACATTCTTGGTTATTTCGGTGAAGTCACGTTGAAGGGAAACAGTAAAATAATAAAATATGAATCACTGCAGTCACGAAAGCTTTAAATCAAAAGTGTAAAATTTATTTATAATCTTAGTTGAATTTTGAACGTGAGGTAGAAATCCCCCCCCCACCCCCCAGCGATGACGCGCGGGCGTTGCCAGGGGCAACCCCCGGTCAGCTGTAGCCAATTGATGAAATAATTAAACAATGATACATCGCACTAACTTGTCAATTTAACTACTTTAACGTTGACGGATGGGAAAACGGAATATCCTATGCCAAGCACGGGGCTTACGGCGTGTTACCAGGCTAATTGTTTTTTTACATAAACCCCACGGTCCGCGAGAAAAATCCTTCGCAAGTTGCGTATACACAGACGGACAGAGGAACCTGATTGTGAGGTTTGTAGTCGGTGTCTCTGCGTCGACATCAGCAGCACCTTGGAACAGGTGAAGAAGAAGACCAACTTAGTCAAACTCACTCACTCACTCATTCACTCACTCATTCACTCACTCACACATTCACTCACTCATTCACTCACTCATTCATTCACTCACTCATTCACTCACTCACACATTCACTCACTCATTCACTCACTCATTCACTCACGCATTCACTCACACATTCACTCATTGACTCACTCATTCACTCACTCACTCACCCACTCACTCACCCACTCACTCATTCACTAATTCACCCACTCACACATTCACTCATTCACTCACTCACATTCACTCACCCACTCACACATTCACTCATTCACTCATTCACTCACTCTTTCACTCATTCACTCACTCACACATTCACTCACACATTCACTCACTCATTCACTCACTCACTCATTCACTCACTCATTCACTCATTCACTCACTCACACATTCACTCACACATTCACTCACACATTCACTCACACATTCACTCACTCATTCACTCACTCATTCACTCACACATTCACTCACACATTCACTCATTGACTCACTCATTCACTCACTCACTCACCCACTCACTCACCCACTCACTCATTCACTAATTCACCCACTCACACATTCACTCATTCACTCACTCACATTCACTCACCCACTCACACATTCACTCATTCACTCATTCACTCACTCTTTCACTCATTCACTCACTCACACATTCACTCACACATTCACTCACTCACTCATTCACTCACTCATTCACTCATTCACTCACTCGCACATTCACTCACACATTCACTCACACATTCACTCACTCATTCACTCACTCATTCACTCAATCACTCACTCATTCACTCACTCATTCACTCACTCACACTCATTCACTCACTCACACATTCACTCACTCATTCACTCACTCATTCACTCAGTCATTCACTCAATCACTCACTCATTCACTCACTCATTCACTCACTCACACATTCACTCACACATTCACTCACACATTCACTCACTCATTCACTCACTCATACACTCGCTCACTCATTCACTCAATCACTCACTCATTCACTCACACATTCACTCACTCAATCATTCACTCACTCACTCATTCACTCACTCATTCACTCACACATTCACTCACTCATCCACTCACTCATTCACTCACACTCACGTACTTATTCACTCACTCACTCATTCACTCACTCATTCACTCAATCACTCACCCACTCATTCATTCACTCACCCACTCATTCACTCATTCACTCACTCACACTCATTCACTCACTCATTCACTCACTCATTCACTCACTCATTCACTCACTCATTCACTCACACTCATTCACTCAGTCACACTCATTCACTCACTCACCCACTCACACATTCACTCATTCACTCACACATTCACTCACTCATTCACTCACTCATTCACTCACTCAGTCACTCAATCACTCACTCATTCACTCACTCACACATTCACTCACTCATTCACTCACTCACCCATTCACTCATTCACTCACTCATTCACTCACTCATCCACTCACTCATTCACTCACACATTCTCATTCATTCACTCACTCATTCACTCACTCACACTCACTCATTCACTCACTAACACTAATGCATTCATTCACTCACTCAAACTCATTCACTCACTCACACTCGTTCACTACTTTAACGTTGACGGATGTGAAAACGGAATAGCCTATGCCAAGCACGGGGCTTACGGCGTGTTACCAGGCTAATTGTTTTTTGACTTAAACCCCACGGTCCGCGAGAAAAATCCTTCGCAAGTTGCATGTACACAGACGGACAGAGGAACCTGATTGTGAGGTTTGTAGTCGGTGTCTCTGCGTCGACATCAGCAGCACCTTGGAACAGGTGAAGAAGAAGACCAACTTAGTCAAACTCACTCACTCATTCACTCACTCATTCACTCACTCACACATTCACTCACTCATTCACTCACTCATTCACTCACTCATTCACTCACACTCATTCGCACACTCATTCACTCATTCACTCACACTCATTCACTCACTCACCCACTCACACATTCACTCATTCATTCACTCACTCATTCACTCACTCACTCATTCACTCACTCACACATTCATTCACACATTCACTCACTCATTCACTCACTCATTCACTCACCCACTCACACATTCACTCATTCACTCACTCATTCACTCACTCATTCACTCACTCACTCATTCACTCGCTCATTCACTCACACTCATTCACACACTCATTCACTCATTCACTCACACATTCACTCACTCATTCACTCACTCATTCACTCACTCATTCACTCATTCATTCACTCACTCACTCATTCACTCACTCACTCATTCACTCACTCACACATTCACTCACACATTCACTTACTCATTCACTCACTCATTCACTCACACTTTCACTCATTGACTCACTCATTCACTCACTCACCCACTCACTCATTCACTCACCCACTCACTCATTCACTCACACATTCACTCACACATTCACTCACACATTCACTCACACATTCACTAATTCACCCACTCACACATTCACTCATTCACTCACTCACAATCATTCACTCACTCACCCACTCACTCACTCATTCACTCACTCACTCACTCATTCACTCACTCATTCACTCATTCACTCACTCACACATTCACTCACACATTCACTCACTCATTCACTCACTCACTCATTCACTCACTCACTCATTCACTCACTCATTCACTCATCCACTCACTCATTCACTCACTCATTCACTCACACTCATTCACTCACTCATTCACTCACTCACTCATTCACTCACACATTCACTCACTCATCCACTCACTCATTCAATCACTAATTCACTCACACTCACTTACTTATTCACTCACTCATTCACTCACTCATTCACTCATTCACTCACTCATTCACTCATTCACTCACCCACTCACTCATTCACTCACCCACTCACTCATTCACTCATTCACTCACTCACACTCATTCACTCACTCATTCACACTCATTCACTCACTCATTCACTCACTCATTCACACTCATTCACTCACTCATTCACTCACTCACACTCATTCACTCACTCATTCTCATTCATTCACTCATTCACTCACTCACACTCAATTACTCACTCACACTCATTCACTCACTCACACTAATGCACTCACTCACACTCATTCACTCACTCACACTCATTAACTCACTCACTCACTCCCTCACCCAGACTCACCCACACTTATTAACAGACTGTAGGGGCAAGTGCTGTTAGCGAGCACCTATGAAGGTCAGAACGGCTCACGAGGGGGTGGGTGGCCAGCACCACGCCCGACCGCCTTTGTCTCCCCAGCGGCGATGTTTACTACACTACACCGCACCAGGTACTCATTTGAGGCTGAGTCGACCTAGGGGAGGCCCAGGACCGGTTCAGATAATCGTCACTGGTGTTGGCCGTGAGCGGGAATCCAACCCGGGTCGCCAGGTTCATAGCGCAGCGTAGCGCTAACCACTACACTACCGCTCCCACTCACCCAGACTCACCCACACTGTTTCACTCACTCACACTCACCCACTCACGCTCATTCACTCACAACAACCACCGCCATTCGCCACTAAGTGGCGGTGACGTCACCACGACGCTTGTGCCAGGCCATGTGCACCTTGAGGCCACGTGAAGTGTCGAACGCCCGCTGGCAGGAGATCACGGGGCAGACCCAGGTGCCACGGGTCGACTGACTGAGACGACTGGCTGATGCACCACCTGTGCCCCCTACTGTGCCAACCTCCTCTACTTTAGCCACCCGGCGCTCCGCTCGTTGTTGTGAGCGTGGCTCCTCCGCCCTCCGTTATTGTTGGAGGGCGACTGCCTCCAACTGCCCAGTAGCGTCCGTCACGACCCTCCTCCACAGAGGCCGATCTTGACACCGCTGGTACCAGTCATCGGCAAGTCCACTCAGCTCCACGTCCTCCTGTACCACATCACTCCATCTCTTCTCTAGCCCGTGCCGCGCCCGTTTAGCCCCCTCGATCCGGCCGGACAAAAGCTGTTTCGGCATGCGGTGGCTGGGCATGCGGGCTACGTGACCCAGCCAACGCAGCATTGCCTGCCGGAGGAGCTCACCGATGGGAACTTGCCCAGATCTTTCAAGGATTTTTAGGAGCTCCTCACACAATCCAGCTTGGTTAAACCCAGGATGGATCGTAGACTGGCTAGCCTAAATGTTTCTAACCGGCGAAGATGTTCCATTAGGGGGGTCCACGTTTCGCAAGCGTAGAGAAGGGAGGGAATGACCGTGGCCGAGAAGACCTGAAGCTTAGTGCGGAGCGACATACCAGGTAGCTTCCACACAGCGTTACGCAACCGATGAAAAGATATTGCCGCTCGACTGATTCATTCATTCACTCATTCACTCACTCACACTCACTCACCCACACTCATTCACTCACTCACACTCACCCAGACTCACCCACACTCATTCACTCACTCAACCACACTCACCCACACTGGTTCACTCACTCACACTCACCCAGACTCACCCACACTCACTCACTCACACTCATCCAGACTCACCCACACTCATTCACTCACTCACACTCACCCACACTCACCCACTCACTCACACTTACCCACTCTCATTCACTCACTCACACTCGCCCACAATCACCCACTCACTCACACTCACCCACTCTCATTCACTCACACTCACCCACACTCACCCACTCACACTCACCCACTCACTCACACTCACCCAGACTCACCCACTCACACTCACCCAGACTCACCCACTCACTCACACTCACCCACACTCACCCACTCACCCACACTCACCCAGACTCACCCACTCACTAGCACTCACCCAGACTCACCCACACTCACTCACACTCACCCAGACTCACCCACACTCATTCACTCACTCACACTCACTCAGACTCATCCACTCATTCACACTCACCCAGACTCATTCACTCACTCACACTCACCCAGACTCACCCACCTAAACTCACTCACCCACACTCACCCACACTCACCCACACTCACTCACACTCACCCACCCACACCCACACTCACCCACACCCACCCAGATTCATCCACACTCATTCACTTACTCAGCTAAACTCACTCACCCACTCACTCACACTCACCCACTCTCATTCACTCACCCACACTCACCCACACCCACCAAGATTCATCCACACTCATTCACTTACTCAGCTAAACTCACTCACCCACACTCACCCACTCACCTACTCACACTCACCCACACTCACCCACACTCACCCACACTCACCCACCCACTTGACCAACCTGAACGTGACATTTGCAGTCGGTGTCTTTTCGTCTACATCAGCAGCCGCGTGTGACACAAAGCAAAGAGAGAGAGAGAGGGAGAGAGAGAGATATAAATATACGGCGATAAAGACCCCGGATCTATAAAATCGATCTATAAATATTTCTGATCGTCACGGTCAACCTTTAACGTTCTGCCGTGCGTCGATTACTACGATTGATCCATCACAGAGGTCTTCTGGATTACATCGTGTAAATATGGTCATTGAGCCGGATGCCATGGGAAGATATCACTTGGTTTCTGTTGGATTGGCATGAAATAATTACTGATTAGTCGGTATGTGAGCTCGCTGCTGATGAATCACATCTGTCATTAAACCGAATCGTCCAGTTGCAGCTTGTTCGAAACGGGAGTCGTAAGATTTCCCGTTCTCAATAGTGACGACACACAGACACACACACAGGACCACCATCAACACTACCACCATCAACACTACCACCACCATCACCATCAACACTACCACACCATCACCATCAACACTACCACCATGACCACCACCATCAACACTACCACCATCAACACTACCACCATCATCACCATCAACACTACCACCACCACCATCAACACTACCACCACCACCATCAACACCATCACCATCAACACTACCACCATCAACACTACCACCACCATCACCATCAACACTACCACCACCATCAACACTACCACCACCATCAACACTGCCACCACTACCACCATCAACACTACCATCACCATCAACACTACCATCACCATCACCACCATCACCATCAACACTACCACCACCATCACCATCAACACTACTACCATCATCACCATCAACACTACCACCACCATCAACAATACCACCATCACCATCAACACTACCACCATCACCACCATCAACACTACCACCACCATCACCATCAACACTACCACCATCATCATCATCAACACCACCACCATCAACACTACCATCACCATCAACACTACCACCATCAACACTACCACCACCATCAACACTACCACCACCATCAACACTACCACCATCAACACTACCACCACCATCACCATCAACACTACCACCACCATCACCATCAACACTACCACCACCATCAACACGCCTACCACCATCAACACTACCACCACCTTCAACACTACCACCACCATCAACACTACCATCACCATCAACACTAACACCACCATCACCATCAACACTGCCACCACTACCACCATCAACACTACCATCACCATCAACACTACCATCACCACCATCACCATCAACACTACCACCACCATCACCATCAACACTACTACCATCATCACCATCAACACTACCACCACCATCAACACTACCATCACCATCAACACTAACACCACCATCACCATCAACACTACCATCACCATCAACACTACCACCATGACCATCAACACTACCACCACTACCACCATCAACACCACTACCACCATCACCATCACCATCAACACTACCACCATCACCACCACCACCACTACCACCACCATCACCATCAACACTACCACCATCACCATCAACACTACCATCACCATCAACACTACCACCATCACCACCATCATCACCACCACCACTACCACCACCACCACCATCATCACTACCATCACCACTAGCACCACCATCTCCACCACCATGAACACTACCACCACCATCAACACTACCACCACTATCACCAACACCTTCACCACTACCACCACCAAAACCACCAAAATCACCACTACCACCACCATAACCACCACCATAACCACCACCATCAACACTACCACCACCATAACCACCGCCAAAATAACCACCATCACCACCACGACCACCATCAATTCTACCAACGCAATCTTCACCACCATCACCATCACCGCCATCACCATCACCGCCATCACCACCACCACTACCGCTATCACCACCAACACCATCACCACCATCATCACCACCACCACCATCATCACTACCATCACCACTAGCACCACCATCTCCACCACCATGAACACTACCACCACCATCAACACTACCACCACTATCACCAACACCATCACCACTACCACCACCATAACCACCACCATCAACACTACCACCACCATAACCACCACCATCAACACTACCACCACCATAGCCACCGCCATCATGACCACCATCACTACCACGACCACCATCAATACTACCAACGCCATCTTCACCACCATCACCACCATCAGCATCACCGCCATCACCACCACCACTACCGCCATCACCACCGACATCACCACCAACATCACCACCGACATCACCACCATCATCACCACCACCACCACCATCAACACCACCATCACCACTACAACCACCATCACCAATACCAGCATGGACCATCGACCTCCCGGTCTCAATAGTGACAGCACTACGCTCGGCCGCATTTGTCTCCCGAGTGGCGATGCGTACACACCGTAGCAGGTAACTCATTTGAGGCTGAGTCGACCTAGGCGAGGCCCAGGACCGGTTCAGATAATCGTCAAAGGTGTTGGCCGTGAGAGGGAATCGAACTCGGGTCGCTGGGTTCATAACGCAGCGTAGCGCTAACCACTACACTACCGCTCCCACTCACCCACAGGCACCAACTGGCACCCACAATCACTCACCCACACTAATTCACTCGTTCACTTACCCACAATCACCCACACTCACTCACCCACAATCATTCACTCACTCACCCACAATCACCCACACTCATTCACGCTCAGCCACTCACTCACACTCACCCAGACTCACTCACCCACAATCATTCACTCACTCACTTACCCACAATCACCCATACTCAATCACTCATCCACAATCATTCACTCACTCACTCACCCACAATCACCCACACTCATTCACGCGCACCCACTCACTCACACTCACCCAGACTCACTCACCCACAATCATTCACTCACTCACCCACAATCATTCACTCACTCACCCACAATCGCCCACACTCATTCACTCACTCACCCACAATCATTCACGCTCACCCACTCACTCACACTCACCCAGACTCACTCACCCACACTAATTCACTCACTCACTTACCCACAATAATCCACACTCAATCACTCACCCACAATCATTCACTCACTAACTCACCCACAATCACCCACACTCAATCACTCACCCACATTCATTCACTCACTCACTCACCCACAATCACCCACACTCAATCACGCTCACCCACTCACACTCACCCAGACTCACTCACCCACAATCATTCACTCACTCACTCACCCACAATCACCCACACTCATTCACGCGCACCCACTCACTCACACTCACCCAGACTCACTCACCCACAATCATTCACTCACTCACCCACAATCATTCACTCACTCACCCACAATCGCCCACACTCATTCACTCACTCACCCACAATCATTCACGCTCACCCACTCACTCACACTCACCCAGACTCACTCACCCACACTAATTCACTCACTCACTTACCCACAATAATCCACACTCAATCACTCACCCACAATCATTCACTCACTAACTCACCCACAATCACCCACACTCAATCACTCACCCACATTCATTCACTCACTCACTCACCCACAATCGCCCACACTCATTCACTCACTCACCCACACTCATTCACGCTCAGCCACTCACTCACACTCACCCAGACTCACTCACCCACAATCATTCACTCACTCACTTACCCACAATCACCCACACTCAATCACTCACCCACAATCATTCACTCACTCACTCACTCACCCACAATCACCCACACTCATTCACGCTCAGCCACTCACTCACACTCACCCAGACTCACTCACCCACACTAATTCACTTACTCACTTACCCACAATCACCCACACTCAATCACTCACCCACAATCATTCACGCTCACCCACTCACTCACACTCACCCAGACTCACTCACCCACACTCACGCTCACCCACTCACTCACTCACCCACAATCATTCACTCAGTCACCCTCACTGAATCATTCACTCACGCACCCACCAACACCCACCCTCTCAATCACTCACACCCAACCACTCACTCACTTAATCACACCCACCAACTCACCCACCCATACTCATTCACTCACACCCAACCACTCATTCACCTCACACGTACCCACTCAACCACCCACACTCATTCACTCACTCAATCACACTCATTCACTCAATCACACTCATTCACTCACTCAGACTGATTCACTCACTCACACTCAATCACTAAATCACACTGATTCACGCACTCATTCATTCACTCATTCACTCACTCACCCACCCACACTCATTCACTCACTAACCCGCTCACCCACACTCATTCACTCACTCACCCACACTCATTCATTCACTCACTCACACTCACTCACTCAACCACACTCATTTACTCACTCACCCACTCGCCCACACTCATTCACTCACTCACTCTCATTCACTCACCCACACTCATTCAATCACTCACCCACTCACCACACTCACCAAACTCAGCCACTCGCTTGACCAACCTGAATGTGAAATTTGCAGTCGGCGGTCTCTGCGTCTACACCAGCAGCCACGCCGGACCCAGCAAACGCTGCGTGTATATAATAAATATATCCCCGATCGTACAAAGTTCTCCGTTGAAGGCGTTTCACTGCCCACACCGTTCATTAATAACGACACAATAAAGTTTGCGACGGACGGTGCACCCTGTTTGAGCGGCTCAACTCGACCTACGAGTTCTCTTGTACTTAATAAAGAACTAAAGCTTTCCAGACTGCATAAATTACTCATTTTTCTTTTCGGTAAAGTCACGTATGTATAAATACCGTAAAATGATATTGAAGTAAATCAATCATGACGTTTCGACCGCGACACAACAGCGATCTTCATCAGGTGTAAAAAAAACAAATAGCGAGGGAGCATATAGGGTGACATCAACGCAACACTTTGAGAGCGTTAGACTTGCACGGAGGTAAATACAACAATAAGATGAGAATTCAACAAACCTAAGAAAAATGTATGTGATGCGAAACCATTTGGCATTGTCTCCGTACTGTTCAACACGAAGGCTTTCGA